TCTGATCTTTTGATCTTTGTGAGGCATGAACAACACACTCTTTACTTTCTCTACAGAGTATGCATTCCTAACCACAAATTTCATAATTTTAGTGTGATTTATAATCTGAATAGGCTGATAATTTCCCAAATCAAGTACTGGGTTTTTTGCTTTTTTGTTTTTTTTGTTTGTTTGTTTACAAGGAGTTTTTCCCTCAGTCTAACTCTTTATCATATTTTACTATAAGCAGCAAGGAGAAATCTGGTCACATCTTCAACACTTTGTTTGGAAATCTCAGCAAATATCCCAGTTTATCATTTGCAAGTTCTGCACTCCACATAGTAGTAAGAAATAATTGTGCTAATATTTTCGCCACTGTACAACAAGGACCCCATTTTGCATTTTTTTTTCTGAGACCTCATCATCAATGCCTTTAGTGTCCATGTTTTACCAACAGTCTATTCAAGGCAATCTAGGTTTTTCTTCTGTTTCCCAATTCCAATGTCACCTGGACATTTTTAAATAGTGTTACAGCAGCATCTCACTCTAGGGTACCAAAATCAGTACTAGCTTTCTATTACTCTTGTAATCTACTGCCACAAATTTAATGACAGAAAACAACGCAAACAACACAAATTTATTATCTTACAGTGAAATATTTAAGTAAAGGTTTTGCAAAGTCAAAATCAATATATCAATAGGACTGTGTTCCTTACGCAGGCTCCAGTGAACATCTTGTTTTTTCCCTTCTCCAGCTTTCAGAGGCTGCCTGCATTCCTCGGCTCATGAACCTTTCCAGTAATGGCATCACTCTGCCCTGACCTCTGCTTTTGCCCTCACATTCCTTCCTCTGACTCTGGCTTCCTGTCTCTCTCTTCCATTTTCTAAGGCTCCTGTGATTTCACTGGGCACATTGGGTCATCAAAGATAATCTCCTCATCTCGTGATCTTAGCTTTATAACATCTGGAAATCCCATTTTTCACATAAAGTCACACTTTCACAGGTTTTGGGGATTTGGATGTAGGTATTTTGGGGTAGGGGGTGGGGGTTATTTTTCTGCCTACCACAGGTTCTTCATGGGGATCTGATGGAAGCTCCATGATTTCTTTTAAATTAGTCCCTTCATTGAAACTCATACTCTTCCACAGTCTGATTGGCTGATGGGCTCAGTTCTGAATTTTTCATCATGATCAGGAAGACAGGCTACTCTGCGTGACTAAAGTGACTCAGGATCCATTACCTCAATTTTGTAGTTGAGAAATGTGGAGCAGTGGTACTCTCAGAGCAAACTGTAAGACCTGTTATTACAATAAGTTAGAAGAGATTAGGAACAAGACAAGCAAGCAAATAAAAAACAAAAACAAGAAGCCCACAAATATCACCTAAAATATGCCACTTCACCCCATGATTATAAATTAGCCCATGTCAAATGACCACATAATATTTATATTTATATATTCCATATAGATAGCACACAGCCCAAAAGTCTAATACAATAATTGGCTTTCTTAAATGACTAAATGGTGAACTATTATATTGTCACATTCACGTGATTTGATCTGCAATGTAATAAAATTCATAGCTTTATAATACCTTTTGACTAGATGTTATTGTTTTTGCAAATATATTTCTCAAATATGTTTTAGAAAGTATTGAAAGTCAGATCATGATATTGGGAGAACAAAAAATAGATTCAGATAATTAATTTTCAGAATAAAAACAAGACAAGAATGTAATTCCAAAATGGAGGTTCTGAAAGGAATTGTACACTTTTAATTTGTCTTATTTCCTTGGTCTAATCTCAGAAAATCAATGCTCCTGATACACCCCCACCCCTAATACACACATAACTAAGGGTATATGTAATTTGAAAAAAATGAAAGTATAGATTAATGGACCTTCTGAACTCAAAAGTATGTCTGGACATCTGTATATTCTATCACCAGATTAAATCTCAGAAGGGGTGTTTCAACATAAAACTTCTTAAATACTATGTGAAGAGTATCACCTATGCTAAACTATTTTCTGTGGCCCCCATTTCTCTCCTGTTTTTGCTTGATCTTTTGATAGTCTCCCCCACCCGCCACCGTAAGAGGCTATGTGGCAAGTGGGTCTGATACCTCTGATACCTCTGAGAGTAGAGATGAGGAGACACAGTGTCTCTCAAGTATAAATCACTGAACTGCAAGTCAGAAAATATCAAAGCTGTTTCCAAGAGAATACTCTAAAATGAAGCTGAGTTATCTAAGATGAAAGAAAGAGTATTGGGGAAGAGAGTACAAGCAACTTTCAGAGGCTAGCTGTGGAACCAAGTGAATATTTAAGAGGAAGAGAAGTCAATGGTCTTTTGTAGAAGCTCATTGGTCAGTGGACTGATGGCTTGTACTACTTGGTATAGGGGTCAAGGGCCATAGTGAAGAGTAACTTGATCCCTAGAACTGCTATGTGAGGCTGAACAAGGTACCGTTACGGAGATCTAAGTGGTATTTTATTTTCTGTTTCTGTATTAGTTTTCTGAGGATAATGCCTTCCATCTTCATCTGTATCCCTGCAAAGGACATGATTTCATTCCTTTTTATGGCTGCATAGTATTCTGTGGTGCATATGCACCACATTTTCTTTGTCTAGTCTATTATTGATGGGCATTTAGGATGATTCCACGTCTTTGCTATTATGAATAGTGCTGCAAAGAACATATGTGTGCATGTATCTTTATAATAGAATGATTTACATTCCCTTGGATATATGCCCAGTAATGGGATTGCTGGGTCAAATGGTATTTCTGCCTCCAAGTCTTTGAGGAATCACCACACTCTCTTCCACAATGTTCTCACTTATAAGTGGGAACTGAATGATGAGAATACATGGACACATGGCAAGGGAACAACACACAATGGGGCCTGTCAGAGGGAGGGGTGAGGAGAGGAAAAACATCAAGAAGAATAGCTAATGGATGCTGAGCTTCATACCTAGGTGATGGGATGATCTGTGCAGCAAACCACCATGGCACAAATTTACCCACGTAAAAAGCCTGCGTATCCTGCACATGTACCCATGAACTTAAAACAAATTTGAAGAAAAATCCAGATCTGAGCAGCATGGACCATTCTTGGGTTCCTGCCTTCCCTCCCACTTGTTGAGGACATCCTATTACTGATGTGGGAAATACAGGACTTCATTAGTCTTAAGAAGAAGTTGCAACTCTTCCCTCATGCCTACTATCTTATGCAATGGTTCTTTACATCATTTTGGCAGGGAGGCAGGCTTGAACTCACCTTATACATCTACTGAAAGCTAAAGACTCCCTTCCCAGTAATAAAGAGCATGTTCACACAAGCCAATCATTTTTTCATAAAATTTCAGGATATTCACAAACTTCCTGAATTTTGTTGGCAGAGACTTCCCTGGAAGATTAATGGACTGGGTTAAGAACCCTTGCTGTAGAACCCAGTCCTGAACCACCAGAGGCTTCACCTCAGCTAATGGAAGTTTTGAGTGTTTCAAGAAATTTGAGGGTAACCAAAGACTTTTATCCCACTCTAAAGAACCCATCCATGTAAGCTATTTCGAAGGTTTTGCTTTAGTGATCACAGGCACTTCATATTTTAACTTTTCTGAGACAGGAAGGAATGGGCATGACTAGGGATCTAAAACACTGTTGTCCAGTTCCAGCATCATAGGAGTTTCCCTGATGATGATTTTATCCTGTATTTTTCATGCTTTCCCCCATGCCTGTCTTCTTAAATAGATATTCACATTCTCTCTGCTCACAGCCTAGGGAGCATGGGAGGGTAACAAGAACAAGTGGGGAACAATCTAGTGAGGAATGGTCTGAACCCGCCGCTGAACATGTCCTTAAACGACAGTACTTTTACTAGAATGACATTTCTATTCATTATCCTTCCCGGCCAAATTCATTGGTTTGTAAGTTCACTTATTCAGCAAAAATGTATCAACATGTGCAGAATTCCAAGTTCTATGCTAGCGCCTGTGAGGAGTGCAAAGATGGGTGGCATACAACCTCTCTCCTCTCAAAGGAGCTTGAGGTCCTGCAGCAGAGACAAGTTACACAAAGGAACTCAGCTTAAACAGCTTCCTGAAAGGGCTTTACTGTTCAACCTTCCTAAGTTTCCTGCTGTGTGTGTGTGTGTGTGTGTGTGTGTGTGTGTGCGCGCGCGCGCGCGCGCGCACGCCTGTGCATGGTTGCTTCACTTTATGTGCCAGGGACTGAAGAAATGTCTTTCTTGTTCTCCCAGAGCACCCCCTCCATGACGTGAACCATCATATTTGTCACCATACTTTATAATTATCCATTTAGCTTCTCTCCCAACGGATCACAAACCCCTTGAGGATAGAGACTGAGTTTCACTAGATGTCCCAACTATTTCGTGGGAGCCAACAGAACACCTAGAACATGAAAAGTGCTTTTAAATATGTTAAAGAAAACAAGAGAGAAGAGAGAACACAGACGACATGAAACGTCCTACAAAAGAAGGCCCCTAGCTATTATGTCAGGAAATAACTTCTGGCCTTTGTCCGCTGTGTGTTTCAGGATCTCGATTTTCCACCCGTCTTAGAAGGGAGTTGGGTCAGGTGATCCTTTCCAAATGAAAAATTATATTTTAAATCACGCCAAGGGCAGAGAGGGAACTAAACATCCTGGCCATCTGCTCCGCCTTAAACGCCCGCCTAGGTTTTACAGTCAAATACAAATAATTTCCTGAAGGCTGAGTGTCAAACACAGTCGCTGCAAAACCTCCAGACGCTCAGGATGTTCGCAGGCTCCATTGACAAAAGTGACTTCCCACGCTTTGCCCACAGAGGGCATCCCTGCGCATTGATACGTAGACCAGGCGAATGCAGCTGCTGGAAGCCTCCTCCGTCCGCTCTTTTTTCCCTAAGCCATAGTCTCTGTGCCCCCACCCCCTTCCCGTGGAATCTTTGCCTGATCCAGTTCCTTTCCCTCCGGTCTCCACATTTTCCCTTCCAGCCCTCCACTTCTCCGGATCAATGTGTAGTACGGTTCCAACTCCCAGCTCGCACACCACTGGCGGACACCCCAGTAACAAGTGAGAGCGCTCCACCCCGCAGTCCCCCCACCCCCACTCTCCTCCCTCGGTCCCCTCGGCTCTTGGAAGAAAAACCAGCAGCATCTCCAGCTCTCGCGCGGAATTGTCTCTTCAACTTTACCCAACCGACGACATGGAACCAGCCTCAACCTTTTAATGCACAGCCCGGCCACAGGATTGCCTTCCATCTCCTCTTGGTCCCTCCTGGATGTGGTTTATTGATGACTTGCGAGCCCCTCAGAGAGCTGTCTTCCCTCCTCTGGCTCCCTCCGTTTCCTTGAGTTAGTTTTCCAAGGTTTTACCGGGGCTCGGGATCTCTTGGACCGAATGGAACTTTTTGCTGCCTGCTTTTGCTGCTGATTCTGTCAGTGGACAAGGAAAAAGGCTTCGAAGGCAGCAGAGGCACAGGGGAGGTGGAGAAAGAGGTGGAGGAAGAGGACGAGGAGGAGGAGGAGGAAGCCGAAGGGGCTCGGCGCGTGTGTGTGCATGTGTGCATGCGTGTGTGAGTGCATGTGTGTGAGTGCTGTCGCTGCCCACGACCCCTGGCCCCGAAGGTGTTGGCTGAAATATGGAGAATAGTCTTGGATGTGTTTGGGTACCCAAGCTGGCTTTTGTACTCTTCGGAGCTTCCTTGCTCAGCGCGCATCTTCAAGTAACCGGTAAGTGGTTCTTTCCTTTCTTCTCGTCGCACCCCCTTCCGTACCCCACTTCCCTTCTCATCTCATTTGGCGAGTAGTAGAATTGGGGTGGGGGATAGCAAGAGATTTGGCGCTTGCGCTGCCCCCCCCCCAATTTCCTCACCGATGATAAAAGATAGAAGTGTTATTTTCTTCCCTGGGGGCGGATGATAGTGGGGCTGGGTGCTAGGGGCACCCCTTCGCTGTTTTAAAATCCGATGCTTCAGGCATTTTTGCTTCTGCAAATACTTGCGCTGGTTTGGAGACCCGGCGGGCTGGGGCAGGTGGTGGGGATATCGTTGAAAGGAACTGGGTTGTATCCTTAAAGCCTCAGAAACCTACCAAATGGGGAGGACTGGGGCAACAGGGGCAGGCGAGAAGGACGTGCAGGGGCTTTGAGGAAGTCTGCGCAGAATGTAGATGGTGGGGCTGAGTCGTTGGTGTGTGAATACATCTCCTTTTGGTTTGGATTTTTGGACTTGGTGATTGAGAATCGGGAAAGGGACAGCTAATATGTTGTGGTACTTCCAAGCAGGGGATCCCGGTACTGAAGGAGGCACAGAGTTGCCAAGGAGGAGGGCGTGTTTAATTTTGTTTTATTTTTTAACGGTGAATGTAGTTTGCAAGCTGAGTCTCCATATAGCTCCAGGACACCTCCAAACTCCAAATGATTAATATTCCAGAGAACCGGCCCCCTGGCCCTGGCACTTGCCAAGCTCAGTTTCTAATTAAAAATGGCAAAACTGTTTGGGGATTGGATTGGGCTAGAGCAGGAGAAAGAGGGACCTGAAGGCTGATCAGGGCTGCTGTAATCTCCGAATACGGAGCTGGCGGCTTCCACGGCCAAAAGAATAGAAAAGAGCCAAATGACTTCTGATAAGGTCCACTTGTTTTGCGGGACCTCACCACAAGTGTCGATGGGCACTGGGGTACTGGGAGCGGGCCTGGCAAAGGAGAGGAGAGCGGCTGGATGAGCATTCAGATCCCTTCGGAAACGACCTTTTTCCAAATCCAAAGGAAAAAGAGGCTCAGGCAGAGACCGGGCGTTGAGTAGGAGCTCCCCAGTTCGTGCCTGGGAAATTAATAGGGAATGGCACAGAAATCGCGGCCAAGCCCCCAAGCTCCCCGGAGCCCGCAGCTCCGGCTTTCTCGTCTCTGCTAAGTGCTGCATGGCCAAGGGTTGCGAACGCGAGTGGAAAATGCGCCTCTCACGGTCGCGAAGGATTCAGTCAAGCGCCGAGGCAGCCCGAGGCTTCCCAAAGCCTGGCGCGGCCGCACGCAGGCAGGAATCTGCGCTTGCATTCGGACTCAGCTCCTCATCCTCCTTTGGCCCGAGACAGAGAGAGCAGGCAGGAGGGGTGTGTGTGTGTGTGTGTGTGTGTGTGTGTGTGTGTGTGTGTGTACGCGCGCTCGTGTGATGAGCGCGTACCCGCATCCACGCGCTTAGCCGCTGGTGCTCCCTCCCTCCCTCTCCGCTCTCGGGCCGGTCCCCTCCTCCCCCGGCTCTTCTCTCCCGGAGCTTTGTCCTCAACAATTACTCTCGCGAAAGGTGGGCGTGGGGGGGGGCGGGGGGAGCGCATCTCCGCAGTAATGAATAGATATCTGTTTTAAATTCCCTCCTCGAGACCCTAAAATGATAGAGGCTGCTGCGAGGAGGACCCTCCTTCTGCCCAGAAGATTGACTTGGGCTTTCTATGGCAGTTTGCCCACGGGAAGGGGGAAGTTCAAGGGGCATCCCTCACTGGGTAGAAAGTCTGCCTAACAGCAGGACTGCCGGCCTGAAAGGTGCTAGCTGAATGCACTGCATGAAGCAAGCTGTACAAAAATGAACAATGATGTCAATTACACGACAGTAGTTTAAAGCTATTTCTCAAGTGACTTTTGTCAGGCATAAGGTGGGGTAGATTAATAGAGATAAATTTATGTACGTTTTATGAATGTCTAAATTAATTAAATATTCTCTTTTCACTTGTTTATGTTTCTTGTCCAGAGAGTCAGGGCCATGTTTAATTTTAATTTCCTCCTCAACAGACAGATCTATGCTTGAAAAAGCAGATGTAAAGAAGGGATACACACACACACATACACATGGGTTATGTTGGTGGATAGGCTAATGGATCTAAATCTTTAAACTTATCTACACTTCTAAATCCGTATCTGTTATTTGCAAGTGAGTTGTGATGCAGTTTGCGCAGTTCGCAGGAGAGTGGATGGTGCACTTTTATGATATTGCCAATTCACATCACTCTGGCCTTTGCTCATTAATCTGAGTATCACTTCTTCCTCTTAGTAATAATTTCCCCCATTTAGGAACATGGCAGGAAACTTACAATAAGAAAGCATAGTTCACTCTATAAAAGGACCAGTAGGAGGTGCCCTTAATAAGGCCAAGTGTCTAGTTTACTGGCAATGAGATTCCCATTCAGCAAGGTGTTTTAAAGACTTTATTGATTGGTAACAAAGGATTATGGAGACTATCACAATAGCACTGGGCCTTTTCTCACTTTCTAGGTAAAGTCTGAAGCTACTGTAGATTTCTATGAAACTGTGATGATTTAACAAAGGACAGCCCTGAACAGTGTCAGTGGAGAGTGAGGACTTGATGTTGGGGAAGGAGGATGGTGACTTTTTAGTTTACTTCTGTAAGATTTCATCTCCTTATGTATTTGACATGAGCCACGGGTGCAGGAACCATATAAAGTCTCAGGGGATCTCAGGTAAGATAACAATTTTAGATGTTGGATGTTAATGAGTGAAAAATGAGGTATACATATTAATTAATTCTTCATCCATGTTTGGGTTCCATTGCATTGAAAAAAATCTGTGAGTGTTTAATGTAGTCTGGATATGCTGAAATGAGGCTGGTCGCTCTCCCTAGGCGACTTCTTCTCATTCCCCCAACCAAAGCAGATCAGATGCCCCCATGTGGGTTTGCTTTTGAGTGGCGGGAGTACGGCAGAGCCTGAGGGCTCGGGGTAGGCTGGCCGTCCACTCCTCTTTGAGTGCCGCAGTATAAATCACCAGTGACCTGTCAGTGTCCATTTCCCCACACAGCAGCAGCTGCCCTCTGAGTTATAAAGCATGTGAAACAGCCACCATATATGTTATATGTGAATATATTAGGCTTAGTGCCTTTGCTTTAATGCTCTTAAAAGCTAGCCTGGCTTGAGATGCTGATAGGCATTTTTTTTTTTTTTTTT